CCGCTCTCCCTGCTTGCTGCAGGCACCGGGGACATGCTGGCGGCAGCGTGTGGCCGGTGTCGCATTGTGTACGACTGAAATGGCCAGTGACAAATGAAGAAACGCCTATCGGGCGCACACGGTCCACCATGCAAACTAGCTTCTGGCTTACGTTATTTCTTTTTGCATCTGTTTAACCTTCACTTATCTAGGTTTACTCAATTAATTTGAGGATTATGTTCATATTTAAAAACATCGCAAATGAACAGTCTCTAGAGCCGCAGCTGCTTGCTGTCACATGAACTGAGTTTAGGAACATCATTTAGTCAGAGCTCTCGCCGGAAAACTCAGGAAAGTGTCTAATTGAACGCTTCAAAGATGTGACTGTGTCACAGAAGAACTTCACTTCTGTCTTCAACACCCCAAATCACAAGAAGCTTTCAGTGAGAGCGATTGTGCAGCCAACATGTGCACGGCGCTTATCTTTGCCTTATCACTCCTCCTCAGTGTAAAACGCATTGGTCAGCAACTTCTTTGCCAGCAATCTGGCAAATGTTGCTCTCTAGAATCTAAGCCAAAAGGGTAAAGGCAAACAAATACTGGTTTCTGTTCTGTAAATAAACTGAGCTATACAACTCTGTGACTCAAACTTAAAAAAAAAAAAAAAAGCAGTAGAACAGGAATACTTTAGTCAAATTACAGTCTTCATTTTACTGACTGTACTGAATAAGACCATTCTCACATGTTAAGGATTAAAATAAAATTGAACTTAATGCTGTTTAATTTAGTGCTATAATCATGCACATTTCTCTTCAGGAATTTTAAAATAAAAACTGCATGGACATAATATCCTCACAGAGGAAACTGCAGATGAAACACAGATGCACATGTATAGTGTCAGATTTGTAAGCTACAAATTAACATTAAATTTGGAGTAAATCAACAGTAAAAGATCTATAGCACTGAACCTGGCAGAAGCACACCTCCTGCCCAAAACTATCGGACAACCTGAAAAAAAAAAAAGTTCTAAAAATAGATTTCATTATGTCTTACACAAACAAGTATCAATGTGGAACATTTATAACTTGCATACAAGAAATTGCCCTTCTAATCTTCTGCAACTGGACTTTTCTGAAGACTAAACTCCTTATCATTATTTGATGGTCCACCTGGATTGAGACAAATCAGTGAAACAGAAATCCTAAACAAAAACATGCCCCATATACATTTCATTTTCCTTAAGTAACAGAAATATACTGCTGGTGGCAAATTTTCTTACAAACATTCCTTTCACAGGATGTTTTAAATAACTGGAAAAAAGATTTTCTTACTGAGACATTTCAAATACAAAGATCACAAAATAGTGCAATGAAGTATGATCAGTATTTGTACAACCAATTTATAAACACAGACAGCTGCCTTTGTTATATCAATGTGCTACATACTTCAAAATGCACACCATTTCTGGGAATTTGTGTAGATTATCACTAATACTTCACATTCAGCCATAAAGAACAAGTTTAATCCTGATGCATTTGAAAACATGCTTTCAAATACAACTTCTACAATATTAGCATCCAGCTGATAACAGAACTCATACATGAGTTACTTTATTTTACCTAGATTTTATATCACTATGAATTATCTTTATTTAAAAATAATATATATTTTTTCTTTACAATAACATGTCTAGCTATATTCATTATGCACGGATACATTTCTTAAATGCTTTCTATGTGCTGAAATACAGAAATAGCATCAGTTGAAGAATACATAGTTTATGTTGGGAAAAAAAAAATTACCTCCACTGCTACTTATAGGAATTCATTGGTTTTTTTTTTAAATGTTCTAATAAAATATTGAAAGTGTAGAAAGAAATAGATATTCCTACCAGAAATTTTATCTTGACAAATTTGGCTCCCACATATTCCTCTGTTCAACTGAATCAATTTCACACTTACTCACCTCCCTGTCTCTGTGATGTGGTTTATTCATTGGTTTGATATTGCCATAGCAACTCCGCAACATGGTAACATGTTAGCCAAGCAATGCTGTTCACCTCCTAGTATATGGTGAATAGCTCTCTGGTAGATACAGCCTAATATTGTAATGTATATTGATTTCTGCTTCCTGCTATTAACCTACTATTTCAACACCCCCATTTCTAACTTTGTACTTAATAATCTTACATCATGACCTTCGTAGTAGTTAAGCTGTAGTGATTTTAGCTCAATTATAAAAATCAGCTACTACCTCTGATTCAGAACCAGAATACATTCTGAATATCAGTTTCAACTAATGTGTTTGGATGGTTTTGACTAGCGGGGGGGGGGGGGGAGGACAATACAGCACTGTTCCCTTCCCCAAAATTCAGGGCCTCTCCAGCGATTTTGCATTTTTGCCCATGCAAACAAACATGGGCGGATTGAAGACCAGGCTGTGACTAGCACGGGAGTGCATACATGCACAATTTAAGCAGCTTTCTCATCTGGCTATATGGCCTGAAGGGAGCACAGCATCTAATCCCTGCACGCTGGCTCCACAAACCAGGCAGCAAACCGGCTGGTCTGTCGTAGCGAAGAAGGATTGTGCTTTGTCCCCTGACAAGGGGCGCAGCGATGGCTGAGCTGGTCCTCTGGCAGAGGGAGATGCTCAGGCAGGACTGTGTTTCCACAATCTCCCCACTAACAGTGGGCCTTTGCATCGCTCTGAATTACAAACTGGAGGCAGTTTGTTCCCGCAAAGAAAATAACGTGTTAGTACAAAAGCAGGGCTGCAGCAAGCACTAGCGGTTTTAAAGCTACAAAGCCTTGCGACTCAATAATATGCAAATCAGGGCATCCCCAAACACAAATTTGGATCATAGTAGGAAGACTAGGCAATCATCCAGGGCAATAGTAGGAGTGGGAGTTGAAACCGTCTCATTGACTGAGTCTTTATCTTCACAAGCTGGCAACTCTCTCACAACTGTGCTTACTCACAGAGGAAACATCCTTATGTTTGAACTCGGTTGTACCACAGCTTGACCTAACTCATTTTTAAGAAAAGCAGTTTATTTGCCCTCAGATACTCTTGGACAAGCCCCATAAAACACAGAGGATCTGACCACACGTCATACTGAAAAGCAGAATGGTGACCAGTGATACCACAGGACTAAACACATATGCTGTAACATACCAGGACGCCTCCTTCCTACCTACCTAATAACGTTGCAGCTCTTTCACTCTACACTCAATAATGATCCTACAATAGCTGTTTCCCCCGAGACACCAACATTTTTTTTGGTACTGAAAAAGTAAAACAATGAATTTATGTGGTCTGCACATGCTACTAGGAAATCATGACTTCCTTTGCTTATGGACTGCTCTTTTAAAACAGTGTGAATAGTTAAGCGATTGCTCTTTCCTTCTAGCAAAAGTTGTGATGCCTCTAAACTCCTTGGCAATTTGCATTAACTGTTTCACTGAACACATCCTGTTTTCCCTGTCATAAATTGGGAGCTCCAAAAGGAGTTAAATAAAAAATTACATTATTTCTAATCTGAGAGTCTGTTTTGTCTGAGTCAATTTAAAGTGACCTTTGCTGGAACCCTTACAGTAAGTACACAGCAAGGGCATCTAAGCAACATTAAGCATCAGCCACTGGTCTGCTGTCTGCTGTCCCCTTCATCCTCTCAGCACCAAATTTGAATCTTCAGGCTCCAGCACAGTTGTCTGCTTTCATCTAAGGGACTTCAAATAGGGCCAGATGGGAGATCTTTGCGCATATACAAACTGCAGACTCATAGCCAAAAATGGGACATGTATATGTGAAGATATTCTGCATCATCTCCACAGGCAGAAATGTGCATATTTCTGAAAACACGTAGTACTATACTGCGCAGTAGTACAGTTTCCACATAAACCTCTAACTTGTAAGCAATCTCAAAGCTATGAATTTGCACACAAAACAAATTCCTACTTAATAACCAAATCTAGATGTCACTGGCAGTCTTAAATCCACATGAAGATACAGGTATGACACCGAAATACTATCCTCACCTTCCCTTTTGCTCCCAAGGTCTCGACAACCACAGAAACCGACTTACTGAGCACAGCAAACAAGAATTACTTGGCTCCTAAGTATCATTATGGAAAGTTAAACAAGGAAAACGGGACCGACCGTGATTTAATAATTTTTTATAGGCCTGAAACAGATGGAACAGATAGTCCTCTATTTCAACCATATGGAATTTGATGGCAAAACGTTCTTGGTAAACGTCAAAGATGCAATCATGTAAACTCGGGTCTAACTTCAGGTTGCACAGAATCCCAGTAACTTTTTGTTTCCCTAGCTCTTTCATCCTTAGCTTTGCAGCCTTAACATTATGTTTTGTGAATGCTTACAGCTCATTTCTTTTCTACCTCCACCCTGATTTCTTATGCCAGTCTTAAAAGAAAAAAGAAAAGAAAAGAAAAACAAAAAAGAAGAAACACTAAGACTGCTACAATAAAAGCCACATTTTAGTTACTTATCAAAATGTGACACTTACTGCAAGTCATAGAGCCTGGACACACAGGTCAGGGAAACATGACAGTCCAGCCATGCCTTTTCTACGGGTCAGATGTCATCTTTGGGGCACATTCATGGACTGCTCTTCAGTCTTGGCATTTCCCAGAGCCAGAAACCAACTGATACAGTGGGTATTCATATACCTTAGTGTCAAGGTCTACAGTTACATTAGGATAGTTTGACAGCTTTGGGCTTCATGTAGAGCCAGGAATATTTTTTCTTTTTCTCCATTCTCTGAGAAGGGCATAGCTCAAAAAAACATTCTATGTCCAGTCATATCTGCCACAGCATCTGCCAGTCAGACTACTCTGATTAAAACAAAAAGTCATACAATGTGACTTCACCTTTAATTTCACTTATTTGATAACTTAGACCAAGTGAGAGGAATGAAAACTCTGACTTTACATAAAGATTCTAATCTTAAGGTATACCTTTTAAATATATGTATTTTAAAACACATCTGTGACTACCTTTATCTTCTGCCAGAAGAGGTGCAGATATGCACCTATAGGATTTATAGATGGATCTCTGACTTGCTCAGACTCTCAGGAGTTTGATCTGCAAAAAATAAAAATAAACAAATAAATAAATAAGAAATCAGCAAATATGCCTTAAAACTTGTAAAATGCCCTGGATGAAGAGCATTCATATTTTAAGCAGCCCTCCTTTCATCAGCAGACATTACTGCAACAACCAAAAATTAGCTTGATAAGAAGGGTGATTCAAAGAGACAAAATGGGTTGTCAGTAAATAAATTGATGCCAATATCAGTAATCATCAGTTCACACCAGGGAAGCTGTACAAGCAGAAAATGAAGGGACTCCAAGTCAGGCCCTACCTGGTAAAAACAATTGGTGATATCATTATTTGCATTTGGAGATCTTTATTAGAGATGTTATTTTAGGCTTGAAAGGTATTGCCATTGATTCTGGCATTATTTTGTTTGATTTCATCCTTTTCTCTTCATCAAGATGAACCAACACAGATATACAACTGTAACTGTTTCTAATGGCAAACAAGTATTCACAGTTATCATACGGGATTACCATCACTGCACAATATGGCCTTTTTAACATCTGATAAAACAAACAAACTCGCAAACAGACAAACAAAAAAAGGTTAAGATAGTCTATTAGGGCAAACAAATCAGAAAAACTTCATTGCACAAGATTCACTTGGATTTCTGTTGTCTCACAAGCATTAGGCAAAGTCTTACACAGACTTCTGAAGAGAACTCTTCAAAAGGTTTGACTCCACAAAACGCTAACAACTCTCATACAGGATTTATCCTCTTTAGCTCCTTTTTAGAAAGGTCCTACACCCATGACACTGTTAATTTTAACGCACGTTACACAAACACGTTATGTTTTCATTTAGCTAGTTACATAATAATAGTATTAAAGAACAGCTTGTGACACACAAAGTAGTAAAGCATCTGCATAACTTCATTCATATGAGCAGGCTCACAAACATGACTATGTAAAGTCATGCACATCCTTTCCTGCCAGATAAGATCCTTCAAAACTTTGCTTTCATGGCTTTATTCCTTTACCCATGAATGCTGAAGGTAGATTAGTGGTCTTAACAAACACCCGACAAACGGAAGTACTGCTTTGTTTTAATGCTGGACACTCAGATAGAATGTCTATGCTTGAACATTCAAAATGTTAAAAAAGGTCTTTGGAAAAAGAGCATTTATTTTCCTAAGAGACACCGATGCTTTGAAATTCATTTATAGGCAGAATTAATGTAAAGTGAGTCTAAGAAAATACACTTCATCATACATTTAAATTTGACATGAATCATTAGATGAGTACATTTAGCATCTAATGCTGATAAATACAGAATTATTAGTTCCTGTTACAATTATGAAAAACCTAGGAAAAGCAACAGCCACCACAATGAAGTATAATTTTCTTCAGAAGTTTTAACACACAGCATTTGAAAAGATCATGAAATAGAAGATATAACAGGATTGGTAGTTTGTCTTATTACTGGTTTCTTTTAAAGGCTCTATTTCATAGTGTCATTTATGAAATATATACTTTTATTTGCCCTATGATACAACAAAATTATTATCTTGATTCCAGCACATTGATATGAACTCAACAAGTTATGTTATGGTAAAGTTAATATGATTTGATTCGGGACACTAAAGCTGCAAGACTTTGATTAGCTCTTGTGACCTGTTGAGTATGTCCAGCATCTCTTTAACCCCCAACAAAATTTAATCTGTACCCACAGATGAAATAAGTATTGCTCATGACACTTTGCGAAAATCATCACATCTTAAACCCTCTCTCATTTCAAGTATCAAATCTACTCTGAACAATACTATCAAAAGTGAGAGTTTACTTTTGGAGTATCTGCCCAATATGAGCAAGACTAGAATTTAACTTTACCCCACAAACAAATTTAGCCCATAAACAATCTGCTAATCACAGAATCACAGAATGATCAAGGTTGGAAGGGACCTCTGGAGATCATCTAGTCCAATCCACCTGCTCAAGCAGGGTCCTCTAGAGCATATTGCACAGGATCCCATCCAGGCAGGTTTTGAACATCTCCAGGGAAAAAGACTCCATAACCTCTCTGGGCAACCTGTTCCAGTGCTCTGTCACCCTCACAGGAAAGAAGTGTTTCCTCATGTTCAGAAGGAACTGCCTGTGTTTCAGTTTGTGCCTCTTGTCCTGTCACTGGGCACCACTGAAAAGAGTCTTGCCCCAAATACATACTCGTTTGCATTTCCGTGCTACATCAGCACAGAGATATTCTTTGCAGCTATTTTCAGATGTGCAATTTGTTATTTGTATTTCATAATACTCCTATATGGCCCTTGTAGTGACAGATAGCTGAAAGACTGAGCAACCAAAACCATGTAGAAAACCATGAAGTGAACAATGGACATGGCCTAGGAAGCCATCATTAAATATGCAGTAGCTGCTGAATGATTGCAGGGACTGATAGGCATCCCAAGCTATCAAATTATATCAGATTAATTCCTGACTCAAAAGTTATTATGCTTTCTGCAGAAGTGAAGCTACAGATATATTAGAATGTCTCTCTTTTTATTAATGTATGAATAGTTATACTAATTCTCAGTTCTGCTAGCTGATTGAGCAAGATATCAATAAATAAAAGATCATAATAATTGACTTCAACTATTGTATGGTATGAATTCTTTTCTACTAGAGGAAAAAAAAAGTAGTAAGACACTTGTGTATACACCATTTTCATTTCAGGAGAGGCATTCAGTTTTGACAAGCCCGTGCACTGAGTTGTGGCAGTAATTTTGTGACTGCATTGCAATACATATGAACACTGTTCAACCTAAGCCCTATATTCCTTATTCCCTTATTCTACACTGGAAAGACACCCCAACACTAGAAATCAAAAAGATTTGATTACCAGGTCTGATTCTTTGCACTCATACAGCTTTCAGTATCTCACAGATACTAGCCTTCCTTGACTGGTACCTACACATACCTAAAATTGATTAGGTATGTTGATATAAGTCCTTCCTGAAGAGCAGCAAAAGAATCGGACTATTTTCATCAAAGTGTCAGGCCCTGCACAGAAACACTAAACAGTACATCAAATTCACAGCTTTCTGAATTGCTTGAGACCCGTGTAATCACTACGATTTGCTTATCAACTAGTATATCTTATTTCCATAACCTTAAATAAGGAAGACTTTTCCTCCATTGTCTTGTCTCTATTTTCCATTCCAGTGAAAGATTTTTTCCATTGTTTCCTTATCTTCTAACACTGACAAAAGAATGCTGAGAAAAGAAACAAAACTGCCACTGCTGCAACTATACAACTCTGTAATTTAAAGCAAGAACTTGGATTTAATTACATTATTCTGTTCTTATGTACAGTTCCATTTTTCAGAAGTCCAAGCCTGCTGTTAGCTCCAGCAAAGTCTTTATATTCCAATCTTCTACTGAGAGGAATATGCCTTTAAAAAAAAATTTAAGGCCACACACCACAATCTAACACAACAGCCATTCCTTCACACATAATTATTTACAGGACAGGGAGTGCAGAAACACGTGCTTTGAAAAACCCAGGCTCCTAACACTTTGAATTGATAAGTTTCTCTAGAAGCCAGAGAAAGCTCTGTAAAATCTTGTGTTTCTCCCTGTCTTCCTAACAATCCATCATCAGGGAAGAAGAAGAAGAAAAAAAAAGCATTTGGCGGAACCATGCACACAAACTTTCCCGGGGAAGGTAGTCCTGAAACACTGCTAAATGAGAACACACGTTTGGTCATCAGGAACTAAGAGACTTAATGCTCTACAAAAGATGGCAGAGTCCAATTCTTGTGCTTTGAACACACAGGGCTCCTCACAAGAGAAAGCAAATACAGTAGAAGTAGTGATACTCGTTTTGCAACTGATCCATAGAACAGAAATAATAGGGCTTGCTTCATATAATGAATGGAATGTGCTGAGCTGTCCTTCATCTGGTAGCCAAACGACATCACATTTTTGTTGTACTTTTTATTCTAATTAGGGCTATAGATTCCTTTTCCTGAAAGGAAATCAAAAACAAAAAACTCATTTCATGTGAGCTGGATCCAGCATTACAATAGTTTTTAATTGTCCCCTTTATTAAAAAGAATTTCTGCTGCAATTTGATGAGTAAGAAATATAGATCTCTGCAAGTTCTGTCACTTTTTCAGATATGGACATTTCTCTGCATACTGACTGTTTCTTTTGTTTTTTTTCCAGTTTTAAAGCTATGCTAACATTTCTGAGGCAGTGAGTTACCACGGCAACTCATGCAGCTCATCATTATCTAAAACTTGTTATTAAAAATTTTATTTTGGACAAATAAACTACTCTGTTCTTTCAAGTGACCTTTTAAGAGCGTAAGCTGAAGAATTACCTCCTTTTGGGTTTTTAAAGACCAGCGTAACCCAAGCACTATTCTATTGTGGGTGAAGATAGTCAAAGAAACACCCACTAAATCTCTTCTGGGTTTTCCTTGTCCCCATTTGACCTATATGCAGGTTTCTGTTCTCCCTGCCCTACTTTCCTCCAGACAATAATTTCATTGATTCAGAAGAGAAAGGGAAACATCAAGAGGCTACAGATAGCGTCAACAGACCCCATACACAGCCAACGTTGAACGCAGATCTCTGAGGACTAATGCAAAGCAGCTCCTGGTTTTACAGTCCAAACATCGGATCATCAACATAATGGCAATGTAGCACAAATCACTGATCTGGTATAATCTTATCCTACCAGATCTAATTTGGTTTACTTACATGGTGACTAAGCTCATGCCAAGTCAAGAGACATCTCTCCACATTAGACTCTTACGGGACCTTCCACTGCAAGACCACAAGTTTTTCTGCCAGTTGCTTCCTGCCTATTTCTTGCCCTCTCTGGTCAAGGTTGCTGGTTGCTATTTATTTACTTGGAGGCTTCAAGCCCAATGTTTATATCTTTTCTTTGAATATTATATAGCTGAACCTTCCTCTTGCCAAAGTATACAATACCTGGAATGGCAGCATGGCCAGGCCAGAG